ACGGCAAGCAGACAGACACCTTCGTTTTACAGTTCTAAAGCATTTCTCCCTGCTCAGTCCGTCTGCTCAATGGGTGCTTGGTGGTGGCTTTAGTTGGAGACAGCATATGTTTTTTTGGCATTCTGTTTTTAATCTCAATTGCAGTAATTACAATTATGACGCTTCTATTAGGTTTTTCCGTTTATTATGACGCTGTCTACCTCGGCGTATAACTTAAGGTGTGCGTTTCGAATGGTATTAATCAATGTGTGACCACAGTCTTTAGTTACGTGATGGCAATTTCAACCAGGCGATCTCCCTTCCTCGACAATCATATAAATAACCAATGATAATAAAAAAGAAATAAACTCACAGTACTTCGTCAATCCACTGCCATATCGGTCGTGGGGTTACTTTACCTTAATGCAGCATGCTGGTCAGTGCGAGTCGGTGAAGGAGGGATGAACCAATTCGGGTTGAATTATCTCTCGCCACTGATGAATGTATGTTGAACTTCTTTCGCACCGTTCGTAGCCAGCCGTGCTAATCGGAGGTCAGGGGGTGGGACAACAAACTAAACACAAATAGCTGTTCCGTGTAAGCCATTACCAGGAACCTCACACTGGATTCTTAGTGTAGTGCGCTAAACACTGTGCGCATGCTACCACCACCCTGATCACTTTATCCTCGCGTGACAATTCACTGTTCTTAAAATGTGAATGTGTCGTGACTATATTGAGGCAAAGACATGTTGGACCTGTATTACAGGACTACGATGTTTGGTTTAAAAAAAAAAACATAAAAATTATTGTTTCCAAAAATCAGGCAGGATATTTTTACATTGCAAGCCCATGAAGATTGAGCAACGTGTTCTCGTTAAAAGGTTTGGGGTGAAACGTGTGTTCTCTGTGACATTTTGACAAGCATGTGAAATACGGCTCGAAAGTTATGTGCAGAGTGGTGTGTTTGTCTCGTGATGAAATAGTTACAAGTAAGATAATCATTAAACCATACCAGTACACTGCATACCGACATACACGTGCTTAACTAATCACGCTTTCACACACGTAATACATTTCACGGGCATTTTTACATTGACGATGCATGCAGTGCAATTCGTTTTGCTTTTATGTAGTGCTGTTCATGCAGAGCATCTTAAGGTACTTCACAATAAACGCTCAGGCAATAATATAAACAATTAGAAGATTGATCCAGCTCAAGGATAAGCTAATGCAATCAAATGTTTTTCAATTTTACTTAAAATATTCCACTGTGCCTGCATTCCCAAGACTTGGGATGGAACTCCAGATGAAAGGGACAGTAACAACTAAAGGCCCTGCCTCTCTTAATTTTAGATTACTTATATAAACAGCAAAATGATTTTTTTTGTATCAAGGCCTTACCAATGAAGGTGAGTCAAGGTGAATACATTGTTACGCAGTATATGCCGATAAGAGCTAACATATTCTAACATATTCAATCATGCTGTTTGTTGCTGGCAAGGCCTTTTGGGGCTGTGCATAGCAACTGCGAGTTTTTAATTTACAAATAATATCTGAAGACAGATTCATGCCAAATATGTGCTTCGATCTGTCATCTTCAACAACTGCTGTAATGGTATAAAGATTAAGAAAGAAAATCTCAATCCCAGAAAAGGTTCAATTCAACACGGGAATGACATTAATTTCGACTGAAAAGCAAACTAGAGAGGGCATGGCCTCAAGAACTCATAACAATAATTCACACATTGATGTGACTGCTCTGCTACTGGAGATGTCCATCAAATAGTGTTTGTTAGTTGAATTTGCAGAGCCAACGTGTAATCTCATGAAACAGTAAACACTACGGTATTAAAATCAACTATCTCTGAAGAGTGCCATAATTTTTGCATAGTAACGTGTATCAAATGTACCTGCGAACAATAATTAACTTTGGACATCATGCCAATGTGTCCAAGGTGTGCAATGTTTAAAGTAGAAATACGATTAAGACTGTCGCTCGCTGTACAATCGTCTACATTGTAGCTATAACATGACTTTTAATTAGAATTAAATTGTACTTTCCAGCTAATAAAACCAGGGATGCATAAAATGATTGAAACCTACTGCTGGTTAAAACGTCTTACTTACAATGACACATCTATGCTGGCACTTTGGAATACATCCATTATACTTAAATATAGTTTGGAATATTTTTAAACGTGCGATTGCTTAAGTACATTCATTAAAGTTTGCTTTGAGTTGTGCACACAGTACAAATGTTTTAAATACCATTTTCATGGTGTCTTGTCATTTTGAGGTGTGAGTCTTAAATGCAGCTTTGCATGTACGTTTTTGCATGTTTACGCATCGTTATGACATGTGGATCAGAACATAGACACTGACAAAGAAAACGTAACGAAGTCTAAAACGTGCATAAGTACTCATTGAGCTATACAGCAAATATCACTATTCACGTAAGAGCTTGCTCAATTATGGCCATCCATTGTATACAACAGAGAGTTTGTTTTAATTACCAAATGTTTATAATGCTAAAAGAATGTTCTCAGCCCATCACACCTCTGGGGACGATAAACAAAAATGAGTACCACTTTGCGGGAAGTCCATAGTGGTTGTTAATGGAGAGGTTCGGCTCTGCCATAGGAATGTGGATTTTCCACGACTGGCTCAGGGCAAAACACAGGAGATGGCCCCGCCTCAATGCTCGTTTAGTAAATAAATCACTTTGACTTGAAAAAATGTTAGGTTGTGTACATGGAGCCAAGTCATCAATTCCATCGAAAATAATGATATAAATGTAATTTGAAGACGTGATATTATAAAACCCCCCTGTGATGATGGTTTCATTTGTCCAATGACGAGCAAACTATGAGACGTTGAAATATCAGCCGTTTTTGTCTGAGAGTTGGTGAATCTATATATATAAAAGTCAAAGATTTTTGTGCGTGGGTTTGTGGTGGGGTTTGTTTGTGTGCTCGCGCCCTTGCGAAGGATTTAGCTCTCCAACGGTGGGGTTAAGGTTAAATAAAAATAGCCAGATACCACGCCGTAAGAATCATAGCAGGTACCACCACAGTCAGTACGCACTGCTGTTAGATTTTTAAGAGTAGTTTTGAAATGTTTTTTTGGCCCGGGCAACGCCAGGTATATAAGCTAGTTCTAAATTAAAGCCGAAACACCCTAGGAACCAAAAGGTCACTACTGACGATGCGCTCCCCAAATTTCACCAGGCTCACTGTTCATGAACTCTTGGAAGTGCTTGCACAAAGGATAGTAACATCTCATCCTGTGTTCTTTGGAATCTGAATATAAATAAAAACTAAACACGTACATAAAATGTCTCTTCATATTTATATCCACGGCCGTGTAAACCTATACAGTCGACGATTTATATTTTAAACGTGTGCATTGAGTATCCGTATCTTCCACGGTTTGTGCGAATTCCGTTAAGCGTTGCTTAACGGAAGCCGGGCAGTGTGGTGGCTGTATGCTCGCCGATCACGTCTTTTGTTGAGCACGTTACTTGAAGTCCGTTTTCATGCTGACATTCGCATTCGTGCAAGATTTTTGTGCAAAATGTCGAGTTCCTGGATCTCAGCCATGGATACCGGGGTTGTTGTTCAGACAAGTCTTTATTTGGCAGGTTTCGGCCGACCTCTAATCGGTGCGGTGGAGTGTTGCGGTGAATATCTGGTAGTGCGGCACCCGACTACCACAAGCTATGGCACTGACAGATTTTACTGGTCGGAACCACCTGGTTCCACCAGCCCACAGGGGATTATTCTGTCCGTCCGTCCGTCGTGCATCCAAAAATGGGAGAGGTGGGGCTGGGTGGAGAGGGGAGGGTGGGAGGAGCTGGGTGGGAGGGTGGGGAGGGGCTGGGTGTGGAGGGTTGGGAGGGGCTGGGTGGGGAGGGGAGGGTGGGGAGGGGCTGGGTGGGGAGGGTGGGGCTGGGTGGGGGGTGGGAGGGGTGGGGCTGGGTGGTTAGGGGCTGGTCACCCCGTGGTGCCCTTATAAAACTCAACGTTTAACCTACTCACGCCGGCTTGTGCCCGCCCTCACAGTCGGCCATATTTGCGGAATACACCACGCCGCCGTTGACCCTGGCCATTGACCGAGCAACCCAACGTTCCTACCAGCTCCCTCCGCAGGAATGTGTTAGTCCTGTGATGGCCCGCAAAGCGCTGTTCAGTTGGGTGTCTTTAAATCAACACTGGCAGCTTTTGCCCTTAGTGGGGCAAATTTCCCTGTGGTTGAGTACGCCGGCGCAATGACCCCCAGGTCGTACGAGTTACATTTTGAATGAGGTTTACCCTTGTCCTGATACCGAATCTCTCAAGGTTACCCTGGTTCGTGTTTTTTTATGATTCTAAACTGATGCAAGTCCTCAAACTCAGACGTTAACCATTCATTAGATCCATATCCATCAGCCATGGTCAGTCTACTGCTGGATGAAGGCCTCCCCAAGTCTGCACAAACTAAAACTTAATATAATTTACGTTTTAATGGGGAAAGAAGGCAGTTACACAGGACATTTGCAAAGTACTTCACGAACTGTCACAACAAAGTACATCAGCAGGCTTTCCACCACAAAAAATGTTTAACTGCCTTACAGTACGCTCCGTCAATGTTGGGTTTCACCTGGTAAAGCCGAATTTGCCTCGAAGAGCCACGAGAAAGCCAGTTAAACCAGCTGGCGAAGACGCACGTGGCGGCCTGGCTTGTCGATTGGTGGGCGCACGTGTCACAGGGAGTGGCGCAAGGACAGGTAAACTCGCCCTTGATGATTGCTGTACACGCCGTTGTGTGCGTGTGATGTGTGGAGCGTGGTTCCTCCCACCCAGAACAGTCAACCGATGACTCGTGGAGCTTCATAACGCTTCAAGTGTTGCCATGTGATTCTGAAGGACCGAGTCTCCGTCTGACCTTACGGACTTGTACGGAATTATAACGTGCGGATTTAATTGCAAGTTTTCTAAATGGACCAAGAGCTCAGTTAAGTATACTGTATAGTACCTTTCTTCAAAATCGGATTTACCCGCTTTAGGTTTAATGTCAAGTATGTGTGTATAATGTACGTGTTGTAAACTATTCAAATTGTTAACGCAGCAAGAATACCTGAAATTATCGCTTTACATTTCCATTGGCATACGTGTTGTTGAATTATGCATCATGTTAAGTCTCATAATGTACACGTCCTTGATAAGATAGTTTGTGGTTATTGCAGAACTTTTATGAACACCCTTTAGGGATTTATTTTCAGAAGGGTAATTTGTATTTAACAGATTCAAACTAATTTGCTAAAAGTGTTGCTTTATGAAGCCGTATTTATGCAGTTATTTTAAGTAACTTAAATCTGCTTTGAAATCCCAGCTTTAATATCGGCCCATCGCATATTTTCAGTAGCTTTGAAGAGGTTATTTGTCACTTAAACGTTTTTTTTTCTTCTCCAAACGGATGATTCAGGCAAAATATTATATTGCATCGTTAGCTGTAGAAAGCTAACTTTAAAAAAATGGTTGTTATTTGAGGCATATAATGAGTCATACCATTTTCTGTGTGAGCAGATAATTTTCCTATTAACACCAATTCGTTTTGGGATACTTTTTTTTTTACTTTTGAAGGGCTTGTCTCTTTATAAATACGCTCTCGTGAGTTATTACTCGTATGCCAAAATAATACTGTTCATTTAAAAAAAACATTTCTTCAAACATTTTTTGTTATTGAACAACAATTATTCACGTAACCTCTCTGACCGCTTCTCCATCTCCCTCGTGACAAAAGTAGCCAATGCCCAAAACGTCGCATTCTCGCAAGATTTTCCTTCGACTACGAGCAACAGGCCCGTCACGTCGCTGGCGGCATTCGACAAATGCGTTTTTCATGTTCCAGCAAAACTCGGCTGATTTAGAACAACAAAATGTGTTCGCTCTCTCATCCTGCACGCATTCCAAGGCATTGCCCACGGGGTCACAGAGGAGGCCGGGTGGGGAAGTGACCCATGCGAGCCCCCGGGGATGAACAGCGCAGCCCGAGATGAGGGTGGTGGTGGTGGTGTTGGTGGTGATGGCCAATCGACCGAAACCGAAACAATCGCCACCGAGGCTCGCGGGCACAGGAAGAAGGGCGCCAAGGTGAGTCATTTGCGGGAAGGTCCTCGTCGTCCTTTAACACTGAAGCGAGGTGCGTGGCCGTTTGTGTACACGAGAGTGGACATTTTTATACAAGTAACCAGCGATGGGCAGACTTTTTTGAGAGCTTGCCTTAACGTAAATTGCTATAAATCGTCGCATTCTAAGGCGCTTTACAGCAATTCTGCCGATGTTTGACATAACGAGTGGGGTTATAACAAAAAATGGTGGTGTAGTGTATGGTGACAGTTATGATAACAAGTGGGAGAGCTTAAGGAGGTTGGTTGGGGTAGGATGTCATTTGTATAATTCCGAAACTACCTTAGCATTTTTCTTCTTGGTTCTTTCGGTAAAGTCACGTAGAAGGGAAGTAATAAAATAATAAAAATAAAACATAATAAAACAATTCTCACGACGTTTCGGCCACAACGCAAGCAGCCGTCCTCAGGTGAAGAATGAGACAATGCCAAGCTAGGAGCTTATATATAAGCTGCGTTGGAGGTGGAAGAAAGAGCGCCTTAACAAAAGAATGTGCATATGAAGAGGAATTTAGCATATACATGGAAAATGCGTAGGAGGTGGGCGGGGGGGTTTCAAAGTCATATTATGCCCATGCATTATGCAGGATCAACAGCACCAAGGGGGGGTGCAGGGATTAGCAGTAACAAAGGAAAGGAATGTTAATGATATGTAGCTGCAGTTACTCAACAACCACGTAGAAAACTAAAGTATAAGCTACATAAAAAAACTAAAGTATAAATTGCATAGCACCATCAGTATAATTACTATACTCTACACTAAGCTGAGTTACTAACAGCAAGTAATACATTACAATTCTACGTCGTAAAAATTATATAATATGCTTCCATCTAAACTTTATTCTATTGTATCACACGAGCATATACCAGTACTATATACTGCCAACATTAAATTATATACTGTATTGCTGTAAACCAACCTATACCTTATACATTTAATATAACACTATGTATTATTCTACCCACCCTAATGTGTGTCGAAATGGTTTATTACGTCCTTCCAATGATTGCTAAGCCAGAATCCATCTTCTCGGTTACAATTAGTCTCTGTGTTTGTATATGTGGATCGCCTCATGAACGAATCTCTCATGATAGCCAGATGGCTTGCAGAGAACCTCTGTCTTGGAGAAGTCAATATCATGTGAGCCCACTGAGTTGTAACAGTGATCTGCCACGGCTGAGGTGTTTGTCCTACCGTGTTTCAGGTCAGCTTTATGTTCACGGATGCGGTCCGAGACATGTCGTTTGGTTTCCCCAATGTAACTGCTACCACAGAGGCAACTTAGTTTGTAGACGCCAGGGTACTGTATGTCTGGAACCACATCTTTTACAGACGGTACCAGATCACGGATTTTATGTACTGTGTTGAATCGGACCTGGATCTTGTGTTTAATCAGGATTTTGGAGATCTTTTTTGTGACCCCAGCAATGTAGGGTAAGGTGATGGTCTTGAAAGGCTCCTCAACATGATCCTTCTTGATGGTTGGAGTGATGGCTTTGCGGATTGTGTAGTCGGAGTAACCATTAGCCTTAAGAGCTTGGCGTACGTGTTTGAGTTCACTGGAAATGTGTTCATGGTCGGAGATGCATTGGGCTCTATGATATAGAGTCTTGATGAGGGAATTCTTCTGGGATGGATGGTGGTGGGAATCCGGTTTTAGATAAGCATCCGTGTGGGTGGCTTTCCTGTAGACAGAGTGGCTCATTGAACCATCAGGTCTCCTTTTGATTAGGACATCCAAAAAGGGTAGCTTGCCATCATTTTCGACTTCCATGGTGAATCTGATGGCTGGGTGTATGGAATTGATGTGGTCGAGAAATTGGTCTAGAGCAGGCCGGCCATGTGGCCAGATGACAAAAGTGTCGTCTACGTACCTCTTCCATAAGGTCGGGCGTAGAGTGGCAGTCTGGATGGCGTCCATCTCAAATTTCTCCATGAAGATGTTGGCTACAACCGGAGATAGGGGAGAGCCCATTGGGGTGCCCTCAATTTGCTTGTAGAAGGTTCCATTCCAGGTGAAGTATGTATTGGTTAAGCAGTGTCTCACCAGGGGGGGTACCCCAGCATTCAGTCCTTGATGAACCAAGTCTTCAATGATTGCGATGGTGTCAGGCACAGGCACCTTGGTGAACAAGGAAACCACATCAAAACTGACAAGCAGGTCGTCTGGGGACAGGGCAATCCCCTTGATTGTCGATACCAGGTCAGTAGAGTTTAGTACTGCAGAGGTGGTTTTTCCAGTGAAAGGCCGTAGGATTTCGGACAAAAAACGAGCCAGTTTGTAAGTGGGGGAGTTGATAGTAGAGACAATGGGACGAAGAGGTGTATCTTCTTTATGTATCTTTGGCAAGCCGTACAATCTTGGTGGCCTGGCTGCAGAAGGTTTCAACGAGAACTGTTTGGTCTGATCAATTAATGCGGTTGAAGCAGAAATGATGTTGTTGGTTTTGGAGACGAGGCTGTTGGTGGGGTCTCTTTTTATTTTTGTATAGCTGCCATCGTTTAGTAGTTCTTGAATTTTGTTGTTGTATTCTATTTTGTCCATGATGACAGTGGCATTGCCTTTGTCGGCTGAGAGGATGACAATGTCATCCTCTCAGCAATCATTGGAAGGACGTAATAAACCATTTCGACACACATTAGGGTGGGTAGAATAATACATAGTGTTATATTAAATGTATAAGGTATAGGTTGGTTTACAGCAATACAGTATATAATTTAATGTTGGCAGTATATAGTACGGTATATGCTCGTGTGATACAATATAATAAAGTTTAGATGGAAGCATATTATATAATTTTTACGACGTAGAATTGTAATGTATTACTTGCTGTTAGTAACTCAGCTTAGTGTAGAGTATAGTAATCATACTGATGGTGCTATGCAATTTATACTTTAGTTTTTTTAATGTAGCTTATACTTTAGTTTTCTACGTGGTTGTTGAGTAACTGCAGCTACATATCATTAACATTCCTTTCCTTTGTTACTGCTAATCCCTGCATCCCCCCTTGGTGCTGTTGATCCTGCATAATGCATGGGCATAATATGACTTTGAAACCCCCCCGCCCACCTCCTACGCATTTTCCATGTATATGCTAAATTCCTCTTCATATGCACATTCTCTTGTTAAGGCGCTCTTTCTTCCACCTCCAACGCAGCTTATATATAAGCTCCTAGCTTGGCATTGTCTCATTCTTCACCTGAGGACGGCTGCTTGCGTTGTGGCCGAAACGTCGTGAGAATTGTTTTATTATGTTTTATTTTTATTATTTTATTACTTCCCTTCTACGTGACTTTACCGAAAGAACCAAGAAGATGAATCCCTGCAGTCACGAAAGCTTTAAATCGAAATTTACCTTAGCATTGTCGGTGCAACTATTCAGTATCCCACTCGCAAACGTTGTTTTCCTGCCCACCATGATTAATAATGGTGTATTAATCATAAAACAAACGCCATCTGCTTCACAATGGACATTAAACATCCCATGACGTTATTTGAAAATTGAGTAGCCGTGTGTGTGTGTGTGTGGTTGGCGTCGTCCACATTTATTAAATTTGATAAATGACTCGCAAATTGCTTCATTGGAAAGCGACATAGCAAACGAACAACCTCTGATAACATAGTCGATCTCACTGCGGGCACATGAGCTGATCGCATTGATCCATCTCTGTCACTGTCGTCCACTCTGGCACGTTCTCTTCTCCGGCTGCCATTCCTTCGCCAGTCTTGTTTATCAGACTTGTGTCCTGCCCAAGCCTACTTACTTTGTTTTTAATTACTCAAACAGTAGTATGCTATGCGATCATTAGAAACGATGAATACACTTAATATGTATATACATATAAGTGTATAACGTTATAACATTTATAGATTAAAAAACTACTTACAAATTAAGTCAAAAGATGAAATAATTTCTTGACCATAAAAGGTAATTTATGTAAGACTGAATGGCTTAAGCAGGCTTGGCACGGGTGTACATCTACAATATCATTCATCATCATGTTTCACTAATAAGCCTTCATTATTCCATAATGTCCAGATTTATATGTGAGAAATGAGGAGGTTCAAAGTATATGCATTAATGTCTGTGATGAGCATTTTGTGATGCAATCTGTCACCGTAATTAAATATCGTCTGCCCATCATCCATTGGATTTCCAATTATAGTAAGAATGTTGCCATGAGTTGCGACTTCATTAGTGCGACATTTCACGTGTATGTAAATTCTCCAGACATGCAATTACCTGCTCAAATCATCACCACATGGCAACACCAGTTGTGTTTTTATAATATCTCTCTTATTATTCGGCAGTGGCATCTCAAGCACAACAAAAACATGGAAACTCATCATCATTCATTTGTCTGTGCGCAGTCACGATGACCTGGCTCGTTTATTGGTCAAGCATGTCAGTAGGGGTTGCCCAGATTTTTTTATGTAGCTGTCCTGGAAAATCTGTACCAGTCAACTCATGAACGTGTAGTTCTCTCTCGTTCGGGAATTGTCAGATATCCTTCTTCCCATGTTTTGTCCCAAGTATTGTTTTTAATATCTCAGAAGTCGCAATCCTACCCGTCAGTGGCAATTTGGTATCTGAACCGAGACTGAGCCTCAGCTTGGTCACCAGAGCATAACGCAAATACTGTACCTATTATAAGCAACTTGGCAATTAATGATGACCAAGCATATTGCTGACCATAATGACTGCAATGTAGATGCTGTCTTAACAATAATGTTGCTTGCCAATGACCCTTGCCCTGGCATTATAAACTTCTTAACAAGAGGATGTTTGCTTTAATGTATTCACGCATACAAATTCTACGAAACACCATACAGTATTATCATGTAGTACTGTACATTCCAGTGTCATGAAAATTTTAATAAAAATTTGCAGCCCTTTGGCAATCTGTTACTGGATGAAAGTGGTGCCATGCCATGCCAGTTGAATGGGGGTTGTTTGGCCATA